AAAAGAAAATGTGTTTTTAAACTTCCTAAGTCTTTAAAAACTCCTCAACTGATTATGTGCTTGAAAGTAACTGTAAGAAATGACTTAGTTACATCTTCCTGAAGGCTTTGCAGTATATGCATACTTTACAGCAGTTATTCAGTCTAACAAGACTAACTAGAAATAAGTATTTGCCATTTCAAAGATTTATTCTCACAAGTACCTGATGCATGTAAGGTAGAAGGCAGGTCTTGTGAACCAAGCACCTCCTGTTCTCAGAAACACTCTGCTCCACAGTTATGGTTCTCTTTGTTTCCTTAAATACAAATGTAATTTGTCTTTTCTCTTAACAGTCTCATCTGTGAATTTGAAACTAGATGAAGTATCATTCTGTATGTTGTCACTTCACTGATGGAGCATTAAGCATGTAAAAAATGTCAGGCTTTCCCTCTGCAGAAACTCAGTTTTTCCCGAAAAACACCGTGGATACATAATATATATGTGTGCTTCTGCAAAGTCTTATTTGAGAGACACATTCACAGGATATGCACTAATATAAGTGGCAAAAGATTCAGCAATGTCAAGTCCTGTAAACAAACCACTCCAGGGAAGTAACATTAACACATAATTGTATGTTTTTACCATGTCAGACCTGTCACAAAAAATAACTTGAATTGTGATTATAGTAATTAATTTTTCCTCTGCCATTTGAAACATGCAAACCTATTATGGCAATGAGGATGATAGATTCTGGCCTGCCATTTTAGCACATCATATATTTACATTTCCCTATGAAGAATTATTACCAAAAGTTGGTAACAGGATGAGATCTATACATAAACATATCTTTAAGTATACCCACTATCTTAACATTAAGATGCGAAGGTCTTGAGAAAAAAACAGGGGTAGGGCTAGGCACAAAAGATAAAGCAAAACAGAGATTTTGTCCCCAAAGTCAAGCAGATCTAGAAATCACAGTGCTGGAAAACTGGTTTGTAGATTATCGTACCAGTTTGGAAAGAAAGAAGAAAATGTAATTTTTCCGTCTGCCATTGCAGTCCCCAAAATTCTATTAGTCTGACCATCTTTGCTTCATTATTGCTGTATTAACACTGTGTCCAGGGTGAGTGGGTGGCTGAGCTTCCAGCTCTGTGGCATTCCTTCTGTTTCAAAATGGAAATTTCTATGTCTTGACATATAACTTAAAGAAAAAAAAAAAAAAAGAAGGAAAGAAGGAAAAGTACTGATTCAGCTGTTAGGAGACTGTGATAATACTGTTACCAAAGGCACCTATTTAGGTGCACTTACTCAGTGTAGATTTATCAGTAAGCCTGAGGGGCTCCTTCTTCACCGCCACCCCCTTCCCCAAGTCTCGCGCTCTGCCTGCCTGATCCCATCCGACAGTAGAACTGCTACCGCACTAATCCCCGCAAGTTTGGGACTAATGAACTAACTGCTGGGCTGCCGCCACGGAGCTTGGTCCCAAACTATACTGTACTTCACACTCGATTTATTCTCCAGATGGCGAGACTGCGCAGCCCCGCCGCGAGGGACCACCTTTTCCACTGGAGTGTAAAAGTGGAGGGATGTTGTTTTCTTTGCAGATTTGATAATTCAGAAGTAGGAACTCGTAAGGATGGTTAGTTATTAGGTTTAATGGGTGCCAATCGAGCCGGCAACACGCGTATTCTCGTCTTTAATTTCAGTGTCTGGGTGGCAGTGGATTTGTCAGCGACGCTGTGTCACTGAAACCTTTATCTTCTCCAGTTGGCATAGCAGCGCGTGGTAATGAACATCTTCCCGTGTCCTCTTCAAACAGAAGGCATGCTAAAGTAGCCACCCTGACCAACGGATTTTTTTTCCCAGTGGGTTTTCCAGCACAAGTTGCATATTTAGCGTATTTTAAGAATATCACTGTTTACCACAAATCTCTCTGTTGTCTTTCTCTTGTTCAGTTTGATAAAGAACCCAAACCACGTGGGACCCAGTGGGGATACCACCATCCCAGGCTACCTGGGGATGGAATTGTTTACTTAACAATCGGGTTTATTTCTTTATCAGCTATTCATTCATGACAGAGTAATATTCAATGTCGTGGTTCTCATGTGAAGAACAGGGTAACTCATTTCTTTTACCATTCCTTAAAAATTCTAGTTTGACCATTCTTGGCGGGGACTTTGCATAGTGTTCAGAAAATGTGTTTATTCTTGCATCTACTACTATAAAAACATTACTGTACCAACGACTACTTTTTTCTCTACTGTTACAATGCTGAAGTAGTTTGCCTAGCTTAAAATTTTAGCTTTTGAGTGGATCCTACAAGAATAGCATCTATGTTTCCCTGCGTGATGAGGCAGAAAGGGGTCTCCCTTTCCTCCATGTTTTTAGTACATTTAGTCAGAGGTTTTAGTACATTTTTTTATTTCCCCATGAAATGTTTTATTGGAAGCCTGGGTGGGGATCTGATACACTCCACTAACATCAACGGGATTTTCTCCATTGTAGGAAGAGTAGGCACTGAGTCAGCCCCCTCACAAGCTCTGATTTGGCATCCCAGGTCCTCTCAGTTTGTCCCACAATTAAAAACATAAATTGAATCCTGATGTGGAAACTATAGTGACTATAAGTATTTTATCATGGAAGAGAAATGTTTCTGTTCCTGGGCTATCTAGGCAGACAGATCTAAAATGTAGTGCTTCGAAGAAAAAGCATCAATTCTCAACCCAACAGATGGCATGGGTGTGTTAACTAACATAGCAACATATTTTCTATTAAAATATGGGAAAAAACAACAACCCCCTCCCCATGTTTGTTGGTTGGTATAAATTCAGTGAAGTTGTTGGTTATTTTTGGGATACGTACCAGAGGGCTGCACATTTAGTTTATGTAAATTGATAACAGCAACAGCCTGTTAATAAGTGTTTTGTATGGAAATATACCTAGAAAGACACGATCTGTCTTTTTTGGGAAGGGAGTTTGCAGCCTGAGGAGAAAAATAGCTAATGAGACGGTCTAGTGCTCATTATTATAATCTAAAAAAAATTATAATGAATTAGGCTGTAAGTTTGCTAGAGATGTGCCTTCAGTTGGAATTGGATGCTGCCTTAGTGGATAATTTGGGGAGATCTTTCTTTTGCAAATTGGATCAGTGTGTGCTGAAACGGTGATAATCTGACTTTAATTAAAAGCATAAATTGGTTTGGAGCGTGTTTTTAAGCTACCCCTCTGCATCATATCCAGAAACTTTCAGCCCAGCCCTAGAAACCCATTATCCCTGGTCGGAGAAGGAAAACGTAGGGGATTTGTATTACCTGGTATTGGCATCATACGGTTTGGTTTACCTAATTCGGAAGAACAATTTCAGACGGCTGTGCGCCGGAGCTGTCTTCCAGCTGGACGTGTTTGTAGTAAACTGCATGCATCTTTGTGTGGCTTTCCTAATGGCCCCAGCCAGAGTCCATTCACAGCAGTTCGAACATTTTGGGTTGTATTTTCCAGAGATTACCTCTGAACGTGCCCCTTGATCGCAGCACAGGGATGCGTACACGTGCACCGTGTTCCCGTCTGTCCGATTAACGGGCATATGCTCTCAACCTTCGGAGAAGCACAGCTAGTAGCCCCAAGCTGAAGGCTGTTTGCTTCAGATTTCATTAACTTTCTGCTTCATTATTCCTTCCTTTTAACCAGTTAAAAACCATCGCTTGCTTTTCTCTAAACTTACCCTAATTATCAGGGGTCCCAGCCCTGTAAATCAGTACACTGCAGAGCTGTCTTAAACTGGCCTGGGAGACCCTGTTCTGATCGGACCTGACAACTGTAAGCTACTGTTCCCTCACACTGTTTAACTCAGACCACATTGGAAAACCGCCTCTGCCCCTTTCGCCGGCAGAGATTTGCATCCGTCTGGTTTAAATCTACTGTCATGTGCTGTCTTGTTGATTGGTATTAGCCTGGATATTAACTTTGATGATTTTTTTTTTTTTATTTTTTCCCCCGAGTTTGCCTGTTTTCTTGAAAAACATCTCTATTCAGTGACTGCATATTGTTAAAGTCGTTCCTGAACCTCCGTGAGTCAGGAGCTTTAAAGTTTTATTACCCCCCATAAAAACTCTTCACAAATGAAATTACTTTTGATAAGTGTGCATTTTGACAATGCGAATTTGTTAGGGGCTGTTGGCAAGTGGAAGGAATTTGGGGTTGAAACTGCAGTTGGCAGGAAGCAAGGAGCCCGGCACCCTCCTTTCCCCCCCCTGCCCTCCACTTCTCCAGGTCAAGAAATGCGTTTCATTTCAGAAAAGCATGCAAGAATTCTTCATGCAAATCAACTATTAAACAGAGTGTAAACTTACATTCACAAAAATAGAAAGCGGCCATGGGAAGCATGTGTCTTTGGAAATTTTTCTTTATCAGAAATAGGAGAATAGCTTTTTATGTGATTCAAGAAAAATCTCCAAGTTATTTTGTCATTGTTTTCATATGCAAGTTGTGAACTCTACCATGAGCTACACTTTGGATACATGGAGAAAAGGAAGATTTATATTGCAAAACCAAAGAAGTATATGTACAGCTGTACTTACTGATGTCCAAGCAATAAAAAGATTGTTTTAAAAAATTAATTGCTTTATGCAAAACTAATAACATGCCAGTTTTGTGAGTGCAGACAGTTAGTGCAACACATTGTGGTGAGTATAAAGGTTTGTGTTTGTTAGACATGTTCAGCGCTAGTGGACACAAAAGTCTTGTTTTCTGCAAGTGGTAGTGTAGAAATACTTAGACATAAAACCCGAGCATTTCATTGACCAGTTATAAAGAAATGAGGAAGGTAAAATTGCAAGGTGTTGATGATGACTGCTTCAGTAAAAGTCCAAGAACATCAGACATTTTGGGGGAACCAATATACTGGCTGTCTAGCTTTTTCCCCATGTAATTTCAACAAATCTCCCGCTCAGTGCACTTTTCTGTCAATAGAAAATATGCTTTCTTTTTCTTTTGTCATGCCTCTAAACTCATATATATTGTAGAGAGAAGCAAGACTGACCGTTGTGAAAACCCTTGAAGAGTTTGATTTTGGCCAAGCTGAAAAGTGTGTTAGGATAAATTCTGTGTCCAGTGGTCTTGCAGAAGAAGATCTAGAAGTACTTTTGCAGTCCAAGACCCTTCCTTCAAGCATGATGCTGCCAAAGGTTGAAAATGTTGAAGAAATAAGATGGGTGAGTACCAGTAACACAGTAGCTTTTGACTGAAGCTGTTGGGCCAAATTCATATAGGCATAGAGATGAATGACGCTGAGTTATGATAAAAGCTGCATAGAGTGTTGCTTGGCTGAGGTCAGTGGGAAATGCATCCGTTTAAATGTGTGTAAGATGTGCTGTATAAAAAGCATACATGGAACACCTTGCATTTATAAAGAAAATCAGGTTTATTTCTCCCATGGTCAACAAAGAACGAATATTGATGTCAGAGTATATTATCAAAAATAGAAGCATAAGTATCTGACTCTTCTCTAACTGTCCTAACAAGCAAAATGACTGTTTCTGCCCATGAGCCTTAGTTACATGCATTGTAATCAGGAGATGGGGAAACCATGTTAGCGACATATGAAAAAATGGGTTGGGGGGAAGGTCACTCCTTGGGGCAACTGGAGGAACAAACAGGAAGCTTTTAACTAGTGTTTTTAATTAGCACAGATATTATTTCCTGAACAGTTCTCTATTTCTTCCTTTTTAATTGCTGACAGGTGTGTTTGTGTTTCACGACTGAATTTTCAGCCAATAAAAACCTGAAATGTAAATGGTTGGCATGTCAAATTACTTAAGAAAACTTTGAAATAGGCCTAATTATGCCATAATTGTTTTAATTGTCAAGAAAGGGGGACGTTTGTTTAGATATACCATTATTGCTGTAACATGCCAGTAAAGGAATAATACTTAATTATCCACTTCTATATTTTTGAAAACTGCTAGCCAAGCAACTAGCATGCGTGCAAGCTGTGATGAAAGGCAGGCAGACATATTAGGATCTATTTTAATCTCAGCACCTAACCTTGGTCAAACCACTGAGATCAGGCACGAGCATACAACTGAGCAAATACATTGGATACGTGACGAGCCCTGTCCGTTCCGTGGCACTGCCCCTTCGGCCTCTGCTGCTTGTGATGGAGGATACACCGTCCCCTTCCACCAACATTTAATTAAATTAACCAGAGTATACCTCTCAGGGTTTACAGCCATGTAAGTGTTAGACGTAACTTGTCAGTAATGAATATTCATGCTTCCAAAATAGCAGGGCCTTCGCTACCACCAAGTAGGTTTTGCGGGGAGGTGGGATGCGGGGCCTCTTTGTCCCCTCATCCCCTTCCACCTTCCCTCTCGCTAACTTTGATTTCCATCCTGCAAAACAAGCCAGCACCAACAACATGGTCTGCCTTTTGCTTCCCTCTCACTTTGCCCAACTTTTGCACACAAAGAGCGTACTCTGCTTAACGCCACTGCCTTCTTTTCCCAAACCTCCCCAAATTCACTCCAGCATGATTTTTCAGCCTCCCAGAAGCTGTTTATTTCCCCCCACACATACACCCCCCCCCTTCATTTTTATTTATGTGCAGCAGAAAACCTGGAGGCTGATGCACAACTAAAAGATGGGCTTACTTGTTTTCTTTTGTGTGAGAATCTCTTGCTTTCCTTTTGTCCCTAGTGTGGGTACTTGTTTGACTGGCATGGCTTATTGGACTATAACAAGCGTAACTCTCCCTCCTTTGTGGCGGGACAATTCTCCCACAAATCCCGACCAGTGTGCATTCTTCCCGACACACTATTGGGTGTGCACTGGAATTGAAAGAATTGCTGAGGCCTTGCTACTTCATCCCCTCCCCAAGCTTTGTGGGTTTTTTTTCCCTCCGCCTTCTTTTTTTTTTATCCCCCTTTCTCCCTGAAATGAACACTTTACCGGGCCGGAAACATTTAATCGTCTCCTTTTGAAAAAAAAAAAAAAAAAATTAATTGAAACTTCTCCACTCATTACCTTTTGTATTGGTGCTTATTGCAAATTTTTAAAAAGGGAGAGGAAGGGAGAAAATATTTAATTAAATGTGTTCTTTTTTTTTTTTTTGTTTACCTTCAAAACAAAAGATAGCAAAAATCCCAGAAGTGTGACTTGTAAAATATTTTAAAATAAAATAAGATTTCTGCTGCTTTAACTTACACCCAAAATATAAACAAAGTAGCGCTTTTCACTTTTTTTCTGCTTAAAAAATAAAAATCAAGTAGGGGTCTTAAGAATATATGCTGATGTCATTATATTACCTCATTTTCTGCATTTGCCTGGATGAAGTTTACTGTTTTCTGTAACTATAGTACCTGCCATACTGTACACTCACATGTGTGAATTGCATCGGTTATTATTTTTTTCCTCCTTGCACATTTTTGGGTGGAATTCTCCTCTCCAAGGAAAAGTTACTGAGAGGGTCACAGTGATGATGCAAAGCAGGGATGGGAAGGGCAGAATTCTTCACCGAAGAAAGCTGTGATTTATTTTGGCCTAATTGTAAAGTTACTGCAAATTGCTGGAAAGCTTTTTTTCAAGATCTGGGTGATTAGATTTTCCTTCTTTTGGGGAGGGGCGGTGGGGGGAAGCTAAAAGGGGAAATAACACCTCTAATCCAGCTTCTGGTAAATAGGCTGCCAGCTTTTAAAATGAGTTTCCTTTCTATTAGTCAGAATATTATGCTAAGCCTTAAGCATTAGTTTTTTATGTTGCCATAGCAGCCTTATTCCTGCAGGGTTGTGACCTGCGATGATTACAGTACAAAGCTTATAGGGTCTTGAAACCCCCTTTGAAGATGAAAAGTCTTTGATGGTTTATATTTATGCAAATCTCTTAGATATGATTTACCCAACTGAGACTGAATGGAGAGATGATTAAAATTCCCTTTCCTTTGATATCCATTAATAGTTGAATATTCCTTAAATTTAAAATATATGCATATGTTATTTTTGTCTTTATTTACTAACATATTTTTGCCATACCTGCGATATGTTTATCTCTGCACAAATTACTCGATCTGGACAGACATAATATAGGGCTGAGGGTTTTTTCCCCTCTTTTTCTTTTTTTTTTTTTTTTCCCTTTTGAAAGGGGAAAAATCTGTGCAAGAGCTTTTGTATGTTTCCAGATGATAGATTTTGGAATTTGGGCTACCCCACTGGCAGCTCAGAGCTAGCTGTGAACTGGTCTCATGGAAAAAATTGGCAAGCTTTGGTCTTCAAAGAATTAAACTTCCTTTTTAAGGCCTTCCTAGGTAAGCTAAAAAATTATGAAGAAAAGCCTATTGAACAAAAGGGTAACGGTGCCGTAATGAATAATACGGATGCCACTTAGAAGGCTGGGGAGAGCTTCCAGTGATGGCAGTGCTGGACCTGAAACAAAACCGGACCTCAGGTACAGCAGCACTTCATTGTTTTCCAGGGCCCACGGATTTGCATTTCACTAAGCCAGGGTGAGAGGTGCTAAGCCTGGATTTTTTTTTTTTGCAAACCAGCCTCCAAACTTAGAAATGTATGGGAATGCTGTGGTTTTGAATCGCAGGCCTTGTTAAAAGCTGGTTTAATTTTTTTACTTATAAGGTTTTGGAGTGGGGAAGGGTGTTCTTACAGGCAGGTGAAAATTTAACATGTTATATATACATGTAGACTGTTCTTTTTTTTCTTTCTGAAAGCTCATACTGTCTAGTTCTAGTTTTCAGACAAATTCTTACATCACCTAAAAGGCCGAACCCTTGTAGAACCAATGAATTTTATCCCCTTTGTGGAAACTGCAGTGGGCTTGCTCAATTTTAAGGTAAGCAGGTCTTGAAGTGTTCCTATTTTGCCATCTCAGCATACTAAGATAAGCAGAATACTCCCCAGCATCCCCCTAATTTCACCCAGGAAGAGAGGTTAAAAAATACTAAACATATTGTTCTATCCCCTAAAACATTTGTACGTTGAACTCTCATGTTTGTATTGTAAAGGCCTTCATAAATTCAAAATATTTCGGTGACAGAACAGTTCCAGATAGTCCATGCCAAATAACAAAACCTCTCTGCATTACTGTTATCATTTTTAACACAGTTGGAGTGGAAATGGGCCTCTCCAAAGATTTGGAATACTCACAGTGTTGCAATGCACTTGGCTATTTAGTAGCTATCAAACTCGACTTTTGTATATCATTTAATCAGAAAAAAGAATTTCACTATTGCTAAACTGGCATCTTTGTAATGATTTCTACTGATAAGATTACAACTAAATTTCATGTTATCTTTTTTCTTTCTGTTTGATGGGGTATTTAATGCTAAGATTAGAAGTATAATTAACTGGGAAAATAGGAAATATCTGAAGAACATGCTCCTTTTTTAGGGTAATTTTAGATCAAATTTTATTTTTAAAGTGCATTTTAACATAAATTACTTCCCAGCCTTTACTATCAAGTCCAGGTTTTTCAGAAAGGCAAGGCAGTGTGGTAATGAAACGGAAGATCTCGTGCATGCACCAGGAATTCAGCATTCCCCTCCCAAGCTCTAAGGGAAAAGTTTCGGACCAGCTGAGGACAGACACATCAGAAGTACCTCCAGAAGGACCGGCAGGCCTCACAGGCAGCCTGCTCGTTTGATACAGCCATTTATCTTACAACACACGCTAACGTATCTGGGAAGATAATAAAGCAGTAACCAAATAGACACACTCCCGTCCAGTGTGCATACACAGAATTAAATCATATTTTACACCAGCTGAGGTTTTTAATTCACCTGCAATATTTTATAGTGGAATTCTTAATATTCCAGTTCCCGATGTCGGCAGGAGAGTTGTCTTTTAAAGCACACTGCTAAAGAATAATTTCTTGTCCCACCAGCTGCCAGAGAAGAACACCCATTAGAGCTGGTAATTACATCTGTCTCTCTCCACGTACCTTAGCCTCAAAAAACATTGATATTATCCAAGCATCGATATCAAATAGTAGTATTTTGGAAATGCACTTCTTCATAGAATAGCTACAGCAGCAAAATTTTTTCTTGCTTTTATTATAATACTTTTCTGCAGCACTTGTTGCATTTTTAGCTTCCTTAGCTAATTTTTAGTCATATATAGCAGAAGGCTTTAAATTGGCACTCCTATAAGAAATCCTTATATCCTGTAAGGAATCTACAACCACTTTAAACCTTTCGTATTGTTTATTTAATAAAAGAGATTATGATCTTTATTTCTGTTTCTCATGCAGATATATTATGTGTCAAATTCGTCAAATTCAATACACTTTGTTTGCTTTTAAGCAGTATTTGATGAATGTTTTGTTTCATGGTGTTACATAAATATCTGAAGTAGTGATCACAGTAATACCCAGGACATTATGTCAGCCAGAAGGCAGGGAATCTGCTACGATGTCCTGTATTTACACAGTCTAGGCGTAGAGGTGCTTAAGGAAAGATAAAGTTTTCTCTTTTGCTGAGTCATTTTAAAGCACTGTGTATAGTCAAGCACCTACAATGGCTTTGCTTAATAGGAGCAATTTTAGCTGAAGGGTTTGGGGAACACTGAATTGCTGTAATATCTTCTGTAGTCTCTCTGCGTCCTGCAATTCTGTAGAAATTAATACTCTGTTCTCATTTGAAGGCTGTCTGTGAAGAATCACTGAGAACAGGAGCCCAGGTTGGCTTTCATTTGGACGCAGTCGTCTTTGGAGGAGAGGATTTCCGTGCCAGCATAGGTTGTTACCTGTGTGTTTACTATAAATGCTAACATATGGCATTTGCATTGGAGAAGCCCGATGTGATTTATGGCCATTGCTTTTTCAACAGCAATAATTAAAGTAATGACAACACTTGATCCTGCAATTTACATTTTTGCTTTTCTCCTTAATTATTTTCAATGCAGAATGTCTCACTGGCAAATTAAAACGTGGTCCCTGTGTGTTACAGGTCACTGACACTTTCTTGTGCTTCTTGCCATGCAGTACCAAAAATTAATGAAAAAAAAAAAAAAACCAAAACACAACCTGTTGAGTCACTAAAATTATTTTAAAATATGATATCCATAAGAAACATGCACATGCTTTTAAGACTACATTTGAAGTCCTGAAGTTCCAGTGCCTGCTTCATCAATTTTACAAACAATTATCAGTTATGCTTTTGACATCATGCACAAATACCTTCCTGCTATATTTTGCATTCATAAATTTACTTTAAATGTCCCATGTCAATACAGCCACATATTCATGTGAAAGCACTAATAGCCTTCCTCAAAAATAAAAAATATTTCGCAATTTCTTTTATGAGAGGCCGCTTAGCTTCTTATTAATCTGATTCAGTTTAAAGATAAAAGTGCCGAGCTGTCAACATTTTAATTAAAAATAAGTACATTAATGGAAAAATTAGTAGTGCTTTACTAAAATATTCCTTACAAACTGGAAACCTGTATCTAAATAGTGACCCTAAGGAAAGAGAAAATATTATTTTTATTTTTTTTTTCCTTAGGGTCACTATTTAGATACAGGTGCCCTGTGAACACATGAAGTCTCATGAATGCTTTTGCTTCTTCTCAGAAGTCATCTACCATCATTTTTTCATCCAAATACTAAAGCTTAAATATTCAGCTTAGGACATCAGTTGTGACAAGAATCAGAACCAAGGAAAGTGCAATTCTGTTCTCAGTGTGAAATTTTTAACCATTTATTTGTACCCCATATATCAATTTGTGTAAAGCTTCTCTTGCTCTAATGCTTCTCACTGTACATACAGTAAATAATATAATCAAATAATTACTTTGTGTTACCCCCAAGTCAGCAGTCCTTACCAGCCAAAGCTTCCACTGACCTCAGGCTTACAACTTCTGATTTGAACTAAATGAAAATCTTAATTTTATAAGTTAGTGTTAAATAGATTTTTTTTTTTGCTAAAGCAGCTTTTTTTTTTTTTCTCAGAAGAATATAATTTTGACAATATAGCTTTTCACTCCTCTTTTGTTTACTAAATTAGGTAAACAAAATCTCAAACTTTCATTTTTTTAACATAGGAAATCTTTAAAATACAAAGGTTTAAAGCTCTCTTGTCAGTTGTCTTTGTTTTCATTGTTTTCGCAGGTGCAACAAGCAGTAAGGAAACTCATGATATTCTATATGCCAGGCAAAAAATAATAGTCACAGCAAAGGCATTTGGCCTTCAAGCAATAGACCTTGTTTACATCGATTTCCGAGATGAAGATGGACTCCGCAGGCAATCAAGAGAAGGTGCCTCAATGGGATTCACTGGTATGTCTTTCTGCCAATGTCTCAAAATAAGGCATAGCTTCATCAATTTAAATATATTGCTACACTTACTGTCATTTAGACTAATAACTTGGGGTTTATTTCAGGTAATTTATTGAAAAACTCAGTAATACCAAGCTCTTCCATGTTTATTAACACCTTTAAAATCAGGGCTGGAAATTTTGCCTGAAAAGGCACAGGCTGCCTTTTAAAACCACATCCCATGAAGCGTGTGACTGTTTTTGAAGAGAAGTTGGGGTAGAGACTGTGCAGTGATTCCTCCCATCACAGAGCAGGGGAAAGGCGGTACTGTGCTCTGCAATGACCGTTGCTGCAATGACAACCTACTGTACTCTGCGATGACAATTGCTTCCTGAAATACGTGGTTTCCTTTCTCCTATTTTTTGTAAACGGCAGTTATTAAAAAACACTTTTTAGATGAAGGCATTGAGAAGCAAATCTTGCATGCTAATTGCTAGGGGAAAGTTATTTTCTTATTATTTTCTTTGATTTGTTTCTCATCTCCTGGCTCCCCTCCCAGTCAGTGCTGGTGACACCTACGGGTATTGGCAGACAGCAAGAGCAGCAGGCTCCTTGCCCCAGCGTCCTGTAATGCAGCCTGTTACCCTGTGATTGGTGTACCAGACCGCTCGGACACCCTGATGGGACAGCGCAGCCACCAAAGATTGGGGCTTTGCAATAGAAATCAGACATTTGACACATGCATTAGAGAACTCTAGCATATAGGACGAACATTTTACATTATTTGTCTCCAACCATCATTCAGGATACACATACAGTTATGGTACATCCCTTCAGTATTTGTTTCCAACGGCATGGGTCCTGGTGATGCCATCTAGCAAACTATATTTCTACAGTTAGCGGTATATGATATCTTACAGCACCAAGTAAAAAAAGAAGCAATTTTTTAAGTGATCTTGACGTGCCAGTGAATCAATGCTCTTCAGCACAAACTCTGCCTTACTGTCTGTTGAGCTTCAACATTTGCAAAAACAGATCTTGTTTCAGAGGCAAAGCCATTAGTTCCTCACAGCTACATTATCCATGTCCATGTGGACTTCCATCCTTCATTCATCTGCAACTGAAGTTGGGAAAATAATAGAGCTCCAGAATGGTAGCATCTGCTGATGGCTACCTAGTCTCAACTGATATTTCCTAAGCTTAAGGAAAGGCTTGATTTTCAAAAAAACATAAGCATCTGAACCTCCTATTGACTGAAGATGGAGTTCCAAATGCCTAGCACCTTTGAGAGCACTCTTTTTGAACACTTAATGTGTATTTAAATGCTTAACTCAGACTGCCAATTTAGGAAATTTAGAAATGCTCAGCATAAACATCGATAGTGGTTTGGACTCCACTGACTTTATGGTGGAGGTTGTCTGACATCAGGACAGGGTCCAGATAGGAGACAAATGAAAAGGTCACATATGGCAATTTAGAGCGTAAAGTGAATATCTAACTCAGCCATAGAGGTGTCCTGCCTTTCTGTACAAGGAGTAAAGATCTGTGAAAGGTACAAACTTCATTAAGATGAACTCACAGCTCCTGCTCTTTGCCCCCTGCCTTTCTGCAACTATCCTCCACACATTTCCAAAATCGAGCAGGCAGCCTGATTACCAGTCCCACTGTAATTAGAGATGGGTAAATACTGACATTTCTGATTCGGTGGCAAAAAAAAAAAAAAAAAAAAAAAAATCCGTTTAAGTCAAAACAAAACAACATTTTTCATATTTTTTGTAAAAAAGAAAAAAATATTTGAGGTCAAATCAAAATGTTTCGCTTGTTCTTTTGTTTCTTTTGCTTTCAGTTTATCTAATGTTTTTATAATCTTTCTTACTTGTATTAAAATAAAATGTCATTTCAAAACGGAAAGCAAAAACATTTCCTTCCAAAACTATATAAATGAAATATTTTAATGTTTCCGATTTAATATTCATCACAGAAAATTACAAACGGGTCTTAACTTAATCCACGACCTTGTATAAAGCAGAAGTCTGCATATCATATTTGCCACTGACAGTCCTCTGATAATGTAAAATACTGAAATGTCACCTTAATAACAAGTTCAAAACACACGATTCTTGTTACTTTGAAATATTTAAGATCCCTTCCTGCTACTTTTTCACAAATAATCAAAATCATTGAAATCAACAAGACTAAAAAGAGCTGAGGCTTCCACATTGCTCTCTTAGCTGGACAACACACACTTATTTGCATGCATAGGGCCAAATTCACCACTCTCAAAACTAATGCAAATCCAAAATATTCAGCAAAGTTATATGTCCTTGGATTTTCCCATATTCAGATTTAGACCAGTAGAATTGGCCTTAATATAATCAAATATGTTCACTCAAGTTTAAACAAGTGACATAATATAACAAAGAATTTGCCAGCTATTTAGTTACTATTGTGACAGTCATTGCTTATTGTAGACAAGTTTTCTCTTCCAGTTATCTTAAAAGTAGCTGGTTTTCCTTCAGTAAGTGTGCTTACATAAAACCAAATGTTTCAAATGTAATTTAGCAAAATTAATAGATCTTTTATAGGTATAATTATTTTTAAAATTTTTTTCTAACATATATTGGGAGGATATATGTATATATACACACGCACACACGTACACACGTACACACCCAGCAAGATGTTTTACAGTACCAGAACCCATGGACTTAAAGTCGGTGTGTTGCCTATATAAATGATCATAAGTTTTAGGAATGTTTATGTAAAAAATTAAGTAAACCTTGCCATAAGCTTTAACAGCTGACTTAGTCATTATAGAAAGTCCTGTGCTACATGCTGAGAAGCCAGATATAAATATGAAACACTATAGGTTTCCTCTCTTTTTGCAGTCTTTTGTAGAAGACTAAAATGACACCATCATACAGTTACCTAAAAGACTTGACAGGTATTGATTTAAAGCACGATATATCAAGTGGTACTGTAAAAAAGATTTCATGGTCATAAATTTTAATGTCTTCCAATTTTGTACTCTCTCAGTAACTTGTCAATAACAACAATTCTGTTTAAAATATTTGCTTCATTCCTGCATGGCATTATGTCTATTATACAGTTATTTAGATACATAATCTGTGACAAAAATCAACTGAGTGCTAGATTATATTCCCTGTAAATTGTTCAATTGTATTTTAACGATAAAAAGTATAGCTTACTGCTACTGTTTACCTTTATCAAAAGCAAATCTTTTTACAGAAATGCTTTACACTTTAAAAAATCATATATACATATTTTTATTTTTGTTATAATTATAGACTGACTTTAAATATAATTTAAAATATATTCTGCATTTTTCCCAGAAAATTAAGCTCCTTAAGGTTTTGCAGGAATTATTTGTACACCCTTCAATTTTAGAATTAGTATTTTAGCTAGGGAGAATTTGTTGTATTACAAATAAGGGACATCATAAACTTATTAATGGTGACATTTGATTAAATTGACTAAAAACTTTTGATTAGACGTAACAGAAAACATATTAGTTAAGAAAATTTGTCTCCATGTAATTTCTTTCCAAAAATATAGTTCTTAATGAGTTTTAAGCTTTTACCTATTTTTAAGCTTTTTTCAAAATACTTATGACATTGAAATTTCAAACTGGATATTTGAATGCCCATAAGATCATAAACTAAAGGTTGTTTAATAAGAAAGAAAAGAAAATTGACCTGCTTCTGGCTTTTTAGCAGAGAAATGTAGCAACACTAAAAAAATTACTATTTCTTTGCTCATTAAAGTAAGCAGATTGTGCTGCTGCATCCCCATATTTTGCTTGTACTCCAGGTTATCACTCAGACCCACTGCAGCCTGATAAAAGCCATCCCAGCTTTTTTTGCAGCGACGATTTCATTTAAAATAGGTGTATCTCTGCGGTCATGCGTGAGACGTCTTAGACCGAGCGACGGGCTGGTTTCTAGCGTACGGCTGGCTCCAGGAACATGAGAGCAGATCCCGTTGTGCGCAGGAAACCTCCTCAGGTCCTGGCGCTTCCAACTTTTCCTTTCGTGCAGAAGTGCCGCTCCCGCGAGAGGCTGCAGCGTGCGGCGGGACGGCACGGCCGTGGGACCCTCTGGGCCGGGGGGGCTGCTCGCTTGGTGGCAGGTTTGCAGGATCAGGCTCATCCCCCTGGCCAGTTTTGTTATCTGGCACGGAGGAGAGTCATTTATTCCACGGGAGGCTGGGAATTACGGTAGCCTCTCTTTATGAAAACCCTATGCGACCAAAGTGCAGAAATCACACCAGTCGATGAGATTTCCTTGGAAATGAACTAGCAGTGTCAAACGTTACACTTTTAAAACTGTCAAAGAAATTAGATTTGTATTTGTTTTAAGGCAGCTGAATACAATAACAGATTAAAACGGATTATGTGGCTGTCTATTCATGTCTGAAAATCTCTAGTAAAAAAAAGGGCAATATCTATTTTTATTTTCTTAACATATATTTATACAAGAAAGGGAAAAAATAAAAAAGTGCTTCATAAAACTTCAGGGCACCACGGGTAGTTGTTGATTATACTGGTGACTAAATAAATATTGCAGCCTACCTGCAACTGCTAACTAGTGCAACAACAATTTAAACATTGAGGATTTTACGATGCCAAGCCAATACTGAGAATTGAGGGCATGATCCTTAAGTGACTAGTAGCTTTTCAGTCCTACAAATCTTTTACCATCTTCAGATCTCATTTTTTGAACACATTTTAATGCAATTTATTTACGAGTGGCTGGAACTGTTATTTATATAGTTAAATTCAGAGAGGCATTATACCTAGGTGTTATTGACTGCCCCAGACAGACGATTGCACCTGGAACAACGGAGAGAAGACATATGGATTGAAATGGGGAGGGAGGAGAAAGAATCGTGTGTTCTTTCAAACGATATTGGATGCAAGCATAGCTCAAGATATTTTTATTCTTAAAAAAATCTGGCAAAAGGCTATCTGACTGTTGTCCAGTTTAAAAAATAAAAGAAACCAAGTAAAATAATTACTTAAAGAGCAAGAAAGTCTGCAAGGCATATGAGAGCCTCAAGTGGTTGGAACATTTTGCTTGAACATCTGTTTGTCGATGCATGATTCTGGTGTTATTAATCTTCTTTGTAGGTAAGCAGGTGATTCACCCCAACCAAATTGCTGTTGTCCAGGAACAGTTCTCTCCAAGCCCTGAAAAAATAAAGTGGGCACAGGAACTGATTTCTGCTTTTGAAGAACATCAGCGATTAGGCAAGGTAAATATTTTGTTAATATGCCATAGTGGAAACCAAATTTTAATAATATTTAAGATTTAGAAAGACTGGTGTTGGTTCTTTGCATGTATCTGGTGAAGTGTGCTGTAACTGAGAGTAGTGCTCGTGAAAGCTGTGTCTGGATAGACTAGAGAGTGTGTATTTATTATCAATGTGTCACTTCCCAATACATTGCAAATAGACCAGCTATCTTTTTCTTTCCCCCCATTTTAACTTTAATTTTTTAATTACACAGCCTTTTGAGTACCTGCATGCATCTGCAACATCGGTGAATTAAAACTGCTTCTCCGTTATGCCTCAGAATCACAGTGTTACTGTCACAGGGAAATATTTGCAATCAAAAGGCAGGTAGCCTGGCAGACACCTCAGACTGCTTGTGCAAACATCATTTATGGAAATAAATAAACAGATTAGGAAGTCTTGATTTTCTAAACATTCTCTATGTTGGTAAACCTCGTTCACTTCTGGGGGTTTGATCCTGCAAACATCCCTAGTAGTGAGTGAATTTACTTTTGAGCAGAACTGCTTGCAGATTGTGGTTCGTAATCATTAAAAATGGGAATGTTTTATGTGCATTTGTACCGATTGCTGGACCTGAAATTTGGATAGAGGAGAAAGCAAATTAACACTAGAATATGATTGTTCCTAATTTAGTGCATCATTGAGTCTCACGTTTCCTGCTCTGTGGGTTTCTGCTATGTAAATATTGCGGTGGTGATGCACAATCTGTCTCTACTTTGTGCCAGTAATACTTAAATTAGGGGTCGCCTGAAGGAAGATTTTATGCTAGTTGCGGCATTGTCAGTTAATTATCTTAAAGGTTATTTGCTATAATCCAGTTTGCCTCTTTTTGAAAGAAAAAAAAAAGTTGCAGCTAAATATGTTTATCTTAGTTGCAGCCAAGCCTGGGCTAGTTAAAAAGCAAAGTCCTGGTGTCAGAACAGGGAGAGCAGATGAGCGGGAACGGTTCGCGTGCGCTTGTGTGGCATTCAAGTGGGAGACAAATCTCGTCGGTAGTGAAGTTCACATATAAGATTGTGCACAGGGTCTCACTTTCTCCAGTGCTGTATAAAGCTTTTCTGTACATTTCTTTGCTTTCTGGTGGGTAGGAATATATTGGTGCGTGTGCCTTCCCCATTCCCCTGCCTTTCTGGTACTGCAGATGTTGTGCATTAGAGATGCTAAAAAGGTCAAAGCAGAAATGATGCTTTCATCTCAGGGCAAAAGTGTGACAAGGTATTTGCTATTGCTCTGCCCTTCTCTTTGCTAGGCTATCGCATCCCCTCTGTGGTACCTGGGTGTTCCCAACACGTCCATGACTATGATATTTGGGTGCTGTCCCAAGCAGTTATTTCAGAGTCACTATTAGGATGCTGTATGCCTGTGTCCCTTTCTTCTTTTCCTTGGATTTTGAAATGCAGCTGTCTTCATGCAAGCGATTTAGAGATAGAAAAAATATGACTGGTTATGCCCATTATTCCATTTTACAAAGCTTGGCTCTCTTACAAAAGGCATCGTTATAAACATACTGCTGGTGCAAATGTGTAGGCAGGTAGATGCAGAAAGAAAGAAGTCAAACAACATACTCAGCCAAATATTGTTTATGTTTATGATGTGTATAATGCTATTCATGCAGCTGAATTTAGTGTCAGAAACTCATCTAAAGAATACCCTGTCATATGAACAATCAGTGAGGAGACTGGACTAAATTTAATTATAGTCCTACTATCACACAATAATGAAGCCAAACGTTTAAAATTTAAGAATTCTGTATTAGTCAAGCATTGGTCTTTGGATTTATTTGAAGCTGTTATTTTACTGACATGATCCTGGCTTCCCGATTATATCAGCCACTGTGGGGGTTTTTGTTTGGATTTCGAGGACTGATTTTATTTATTTACTTGTTAATAAAAGCTTTTTAAATATGTTGTAAGCTTCTATAATCAGCTGCAAGAACAGATTTGCTGGAGGTTCATGGTTTGGGGTATTTTTTTAACCAACCACGTTGCATGCTTCATATATTTTTGCATGTAGTCATCTATCAATAAAAATGGACTGGCAGGTTAATATGTGAACTTCTAGATCCTGTATCCCTGCCATATTGCCGGGCTTCCTAAAAAAATTAGAAAAATACTTTTCCATGTAGTGCTGTAAACTTCTTAACCAAGTTTGCAATTTGGTATTATAAATGTGTCAGTAAGAAGAGCTTAGACAGTCTGATTACTTATTTTTTTTTCCAAAGCAAATATATCTCACTGAGGGATCCTCTTGCTCCGTGTCCTAGCGACATGCTAAAATGTAAGTAATAACTCTTCCCCTACCGCCTCCTGACAAATACTCCACACAGCGGTTTTAGTAATCTTGATGTCCTAATGAAACACCTCTTCTGTTTTCCTTTCCCTTTTATTATATTAAAGTGTTCATGTCAGTAAAACTAAAAATATAGCTGTGGTTAATATGGCTGAGACTTGCGTGGTTTTGCCATGTTATTAATCAAAGTTGAAAGCCTGGAAAAAACAAATGCAAGGGATTTGTGCGGCTGTTTGTATGGTAGATAAGCTATTGGTCTGCAGTCTCTGGGATCACAGTTTGTTATTAATTGGGTTTAAAGTTCGATGCCCTTAGTCAATAATTAAATATTAAAATACAGTAATAAGCTTTTATAATCTATTCCAGTTTGAGAGCTACAGTTGCCATAACTATCTTTCCTTGAGAGAAGCCTGAACCAGGCTACTTCGTCCTGGAGGCTGAAATGCTTTGACATAGTAGCCCCCAAATGTGAGTACTGAGGTCAGGAAAAATTAGGATCTCGGATGAGCACTGCGGAATTGGAGATGCTGTGGCAGTGTCCAAACCCAATGAAGTCAGAGAGCTAACCAGATAGCCAAAAGTATTTGAGCTTACCTGACGGAGATAGTCCTGTTTGAGGGGTTGTTTTGGTTTGGCTTCTAGGTTGTTTTGGTTGTGGGGTTGTTTGTTTTTTACATTTCTATTCTGACTGGAAAATGTCATATCTAGGAAATAAATGGTAATGTTGTGTTTTGGACAATTAGAGATAAATGTTGAAAAAGTACCTTTTGTCTTTTATGCAACAATTTATTAAATACTCTCTTTTGTCTAGAACTTTGAGATCTAAAAATTAAAAATCCTTAAAAATAAAAGTATTATTTACATGTCATTTCAATATTTCTCCAGTAGAATTGCATTACTGGGGGATATGATTTTTAAAATTTAAAAATTCATCCTAAAGAAAGCAGTTATGTATAGCTGTTGTGAAAGTCTAAATATAAGATAAACATCAGAGTGTGTTCAAAAGAAAAAAAGAAGGGTAATAAACATTGTTCTCATAGTCTAAAGGACAGCTTCTGTTCTAAATTTATGAAGTATTTGTACCGCATTAAACAGGGAAGTGATTTTACAAATCCAGATTGACTGAGTCCAAGGGACTGAGTGAGATGGAAAAGTTACTAGCTTATTTCAAGAGAAAGATCCAACTTCTATCAATGACAGTACAATAGTCTTTACTGTGTAAGTAACTCTGGCATATACATTTCCAGTAATCTGGATACAGGAATATAATCTCTTCTATATGCAGTTAGTATTTATTTGTGACAAGAAAGTAAGACATTGTAAATGCATTTTTGAGCCATTCAACTTGTAAATACATCAGGCACAATATCATTATTGTAACGGGATCTTCCTGAATCGTCTATTTTTTAAATAAAATTCAGACAGAAATAGAAGTAGAAAAGTAAAGAGGTTGCTTCCACATTTATCTCATGTACTAATTTATAAATGCTTTCAAAGCACCCGCACATTAAACCAGGGAATAGCTAAATGCTGCCGCCAAAGTTGCCTGTCAGGTAAGGACTATTGGTAAGGACTATTTAGAGTTAAACAAACCCAAGCTGTAATATGGGCTGAATATTTTAGATCCCGTGGGACAAAATAGAAGAAATATCTGCACATGCCACATGCAAATGCACAGAGTGCTTCTAAGAAGACCTTTAGCATATATCTCTTGCATTATATTCTGTGCCATTGTATATCATGTTCCCAGCAGCTGAAAAATAATATATATGAAGTCCGGCGATTTGACAATCTCTACAGTTTCTTTTACGGACCTTTCCAGGATTATGAAAAATCTTAGGAATGCATTTATTTACACAGCATCTACCCAACAAAGGAATGGAAATTTCCAGCAGTGGCTCCCTTATAATGCTCTTTGTTTAGGAAAAGCTACCCCAAGCCACTGTATCTTGGAGACGATGCGCCCTCGTGCTTGGGCCAGATCCAGCTCCCGCCGCCGCCCGGGGAGGTCTGTCCCCGCTGCCCTCCCTCTCCCGGCAGCGCCACGGCCCCCGGGAGGGCTCTCCCTCTACGGCCCCAGCCATGAGGGATCCAGCCCCGTCCCAATCCAGCCCCTGGGTGCTGGGAGAGCAGGACCATGCCCTGGGGGTGGCAGGCTCCTCCGGGCTGCCTCCTCAAAGGGATGTGCTGGAGCATCCCTCTGGCGCAGGGCGGTTGTGCAACCCCAGCAGGGATTATATCGCACTTCATAGGGCATTATATCTCGGGGCTTTATGCGGAGCTGGGGGTGCTGGAGCAGCCTGGCTCCCCGCACCCCTCGCCCAGGACAGACTGAAGGGAGAGCTCTGAGGTGCCACCAGCTAAACTGGATGCGATCCCTCCGTGCCCGCTGGGCACCCCTGTGCCCGCGGGGCTGCAGCGCTGTCAGCCCTCGCCCCGAGGACACAGGGCATTTGCTGCCGTTTATGTTAATTAGGCAATGTATATTCCTCACGCTGCAGAGTGGGGGATTCAGGGATTTGTGATAAATTGCCACCTTTTATGAGTTTCAGCCTTAAGAAGTATAGGCTCAGGTGCATCTCTATGCAAAGATGGAGTGCACTGGTGGGATTTAAGCATGGGCCACTGTTATGTTGTTGTTACCTTTTTAAACAGTGGCCAAGTGGAATTTT